GTGTCTGATGCTGGCTGGGGCCTGCAATGCAACTGCCTCCCCTTTGCTCAGGGAAAGCAAGAATACAATCCAGGAAGGAAAGGCCAAATCCTGCACCTTTTTGCAGGGCTCACACGTTATCATCTGAACCAGTCAAGCTGGTGGAGTCCCCAGGAGATCACAGCTGGTCCAAGCCCTGCGTGGAGGAGGATCATGCCTGGATACACCATCCTAGACAAGCATCTGCCAACTTTCCAAGGACAGAGATCGCCCAGCTTGTCTGAGCAATGCTGAGCCATCTTCATAGCAAGACAGTTCTTCCCAATATCAACCCCTGCTGCAATTTAAGACTGCTCCTCATCCTCTCCACGATAACACGCCCGGTATTTGCAGCTGTATCCTTTTCCCCTAGGTGGCACCAGGAACAAGGATAGCGGAGAGGGATTTGCTCTGAACAGGCTGTTGCAGACCAAGATGCACTGGGCCACCAGCAGCAAACACCCCGGAAGGCAAAGATGAGGCTCCAGTGAACACTCACCTGGTTTCCCAGGCCGAGCAAGGACCGCCTGCGACTCCCGCAGAGGGGCCCTGTTTGCACTCGTCTCTGGGGCTGGAGGGCCATGGGATGCACACGTACAGGCACACGCAGACCATCGATCCTGCTAATTGTGCAAAGCCAAAGCAGCGTCTGCGGGAACCGCCCTCCTATGCAGCGGCGTGAAAAGAAAGATGCTATGGGCAGGTAAAAAATGAGTTTTAAATGGTTCCCTTGTGCCTGGCATGGGTTGGACTGACCCACCCATCAAATGACCATCCGGATGAACTGCCCCGCTTTCCCCCTGCCCGTTGCTCAGCTCCAGCATGCAGCTGCATTAAGAGCAAGAAAGGGCAAGCCACAAGTCCTGCATTTCCCCATGCACTTACCCTGCTTCCTTTGAGACAAGAGGCCAGCTCCAAACCAGCCACAGCAAAGAAGCTCTCCTCTCACTGCCGCCCCACAGCATCTCGCAGCTGTACAGACCAGCAAGAAGTCTGCCTTGATGGGAGTCCACGGCGGGCCGCTGACAAGGGTCCTAAGAGGGGCTGTTTGTTCTGGAGATGTGCCCAGCTGCATGCAGCTGCCCGTACTGTTCCACCTGCCTGGCTGCGTTTTAAGCTCAGCTCCCCAAAACGCTTCCAAAGCAGAGACAGGAGACAAGGCACATCTGACTAGAAGGACAGCAGTGCTAATAAAACAATATTGTCTGGCTACTCGCTGCATTTTTTACACTTGATATATATCAGTTTTGCAAATGAGTGCACGTCCCAATAAAGTTGCATTCATTTTTGCTTCCATCTTAAACTGAATAATACAGCCCTGGGGCTAGTAGTAAAGCTGGCACTTTCTTCTGACCTGGGGAAAAAGGTGTGTTGCATTGTAGGCCATGTTGTACCACCCCACTTTTCACCATCCTCCATCCACCCAGATGTGCAACTGATGCATAGTTTCATAGTTTCTAGGGTCGGAAGGGACCTGAGCAGATCATCTAGTCCGACCCCCTGCCATGGCAGGAAGAGCACTGGGGTCAAATGACCCCAGTAAGGTGGTCATCCAACCTCCTCTTAAAACCCCCCAGGGTGGGAGCCTGCACCACCTCACTTGGAAGCTGGTTCCAGAC